CCAACTCAACACTAGTGTGATATTGTCCGCTTTGGGCTAGCCCGCACGGATTTGTTTTTGGACTTCTTAAAAAAAGCTTCATACTAGTGGAGTTCATTTGAAACTAATAAGGTGTGGAAGTTTATTCTAATATTCCAATGTGGGATTTGGATTTGTATACTAATTATCAGTGGTCAGCTACTTACTCGCTCTTGGAGCATCCATTTACGTGATAGTAGTATCACACAATTAATCATATAATATCAATCATGAATACCCAATGATTATCTAACACATAGAAAGTTCAATGGTTAGCCATCCGTTACCGATTGGGGCAATTTTACCAATTTCTATTTACACCTAGGATTGCAAATTCAACATGTGTTCAGCTTTTGACCTTAGCTCTGATACCAATGTTGTTTCAAGTAAATTTTCTCACTTAGATCACTAAGTAGGAAAGCAGTTTTAACATCTATTTGTTCTAATTCCTAATTAAAGTGAGCAACTAAGACAAGCATGATCCTAACAGTAGTATATTTAACCACAAGTGAGAAAATCTCAGAGTAATCAATCCTTTCTTTTTGAGTGAATCATTTTGCTACCAATCTAGCTTTAAATATAACATTATCATTATCATTTTTGACTTTGAAAATCCATTTGCTGTCAACAATAGAGCAGTTAGCAGACTTAGGAACAGAATCCACGTATTATTAACATGCAAAGAATTCATTTTATCACGCATTGCATTTAGCCATTTTTCAGCATGTTTAGATTTAAAAAGCTTCTTCATAGGACTCAGGTTCATTTCCATCTAACGTCTCGAATACACTAAAAAACATAGGAAGTCAAGTCATATTCATCAAATTTAGACGGTTGCTTAGTGGTTCTCTTAGTACTATCTCTTGTTAGTTGATAGTTTTTCTATGATCTCATATTATGATTCAGAGTTTTTAGCATTAGGTAAGATATTTTCAAGCAACTTATCATGAGAATCAGATTTTTCATGCAGTTTTTCAGAACTTTCCAATTTATTTGGCTCCACCTCATTAGAAGTCAAGTTAATTTCAATATTTGGCACATTCAGACAAGACGTCTCATTTTCATTAAAGGTAACATCTTTGCTAATTAGTATCTTGAAACCTAGTTCATCTTTTAACCATAGCATATATCCTTTAACTCCTAAAGGATAACATAAGAAAACACATTTCACAACTCTAGGTTCAAGTTTATCATCTTTATATAAAACATATGCAGCACAACCAAACACTTTCAAATTGGAAAGATCAAGTTTCTTACCCGACCATACAGATTTAGGACACTTACCCCTAAGTGGCACAAAATGAGACCTATTAATCAGATATGCAGTCGTAATTACAGCTTCCTGCCAAAAACTCTTTGAAAGACCCGATGAGCTTAACATGCTCCTTACCCTTTCAATAAGAGTTCGATTCATTCGTTCCGCCACCCTATTCCGCTGGGGTGTATAAGGAACTGTCTTATGTCTAGTTATACCTGATTTAGTACATAATGAATCAAACCACTTATTGCAAAACTCAAGACCATTATCTATTCTAAAAAATTTAGTACACTTTCTTTGGTCTTCTATTAACTTTTTCCATGCTTGAAAATTTTCAAAAACATCTGATTTTTGTTCTAATAAAAAATCCAAACTTCTCATGAAAATTCATCAATTATCGACAGAAAGTAACAACTCCCACCTTGAGTAGGAATAGGAGCTGGATCTCATACATCAACATGCAAATATTCAAGCACATCCTTACATTTAGGCACTTTAGGGGCATGGGACAAATCAAATTTTACCCTATGTTGCTTACCATAAATACATAAGTCACAAAAATGCACAATAATAATCTTATCATTTCCAAGAAAACTATTTTTCTTTAAGATTTCAAGACCTTTATCACTATTATAGCCTAATCTTCTATGTCACAATTCAGTTTATCATTAACAACAAAATTCATATTTGGCATGCAATTTGGTTGAGCATAAGCAATATATAAATTGTTTTGTCTAACGGTCTTAAATGTAACAAATGACCCCTTTAAGACTTTCATAACACAATTTTCCTATTTTCCAATTAATCCACTTTCATCTAGTGCAATACATGAAATCAAGTTATTGCACAAATCAAGAACATGCCTAACATTTCTTAAGGTTAACACATAGCCAAAGTCAAACTTTAGACATATATCACCTATTTCAACAACTTTACAAAGTTTTTCATTTGCCATTGAAACACTAGCATGCGAAATAGATCTATAGTTTGAAAACAAGTTTTTCAAAGGAGACATGTGGAAAGTACACACAGAATTAAGTAATCACTCGTTAGAACATATAGTACTAACAATAGCACAATGTCCTTTAACCATGAAAACATCTCCTACATATTCATTTCTTATAGTCATATTAGCATGCTCATTTTGTTGGTTCTAAAGTTCTTAGGATGTGAACATTGCTTAGCATAATGATTGGGTTCTCCACAGTTGCAACACCTTCTATTCTTAGTCCTAGATTTAGACCTAGATCTTTCATTGTTCTTTCCCCTATTCTTTTGATTTTCTGTATTTTTTCTAACTTGTAACCTACCCCTAGCTAACATCACTTCACCACTAGTATGTTTATTACTTTTATTTGCATGCAGATCAAGTTCTTTGCTTTTTAATCCATTCATGACAGTTTCAAAATTTATACTATCTCTGTCATATTTGATAGCAGACTTAACATCTGAATAAGAATCGGGAATTACATTCAAAAGAACAATGGGGTATATTCATCAATATTCTTATCGCGTTTCTTTTTAATGTCTTGAATTAATTTTCTAAAAACATCTAAATTTTCATCAATATATCAATTCAAATAAAGTTTAAATCGGAAAAACTTTTCAAGTAAAAACAGTTTGTTTGAGAAAGATTTTTCCATGTATTGCTCTTCTGATCTTTCCCACAATATTTTTGTTGAATCAATCTGCAAAAATTGAGAAAGTCTTGAAACGATTATGTATGTCTAATGCAAAGTCGAATAATGTGCCTCTAGTTTCTCATTTTGTGCTAACCAAAGAACAATGTCCTAAGTCTGAATCTGATATGAATTACATGAAAGATATGCCACATTCGAATGCTATAGCTCTATGATGTACTTGATGATTTGCACTAGACCTGATATTGCATATTATGCGAGTTGTTTGAGTCATTTTATGTCTAATCCTAGAACTAAACATTGAAATGCAGTCAAGTGGTTACTTAGATATTTATGTGGTTCTAGTAACTTAGGGCTAAAATTTGAAAAATATGTAGAAGGAGTAAAATTGAGAGATGATGTGAATTTTAATTATGCGAATGATAGAGACAGTAGAAAATCTACAACGTCTTATGTGTTTACTTTGTGTGACTCATGTATAAGTTGGAAATCCTAACTCCAACATATTGTTGCTCTATCTACTACTGAATCAAAATATATTGCAATAACTGAGACTCTAAAAGAAGTGATGTGGTTAAAAGGTTTGCTTTTTGAAATTGAAATATTGAGTGACAGTTTATTCTGATAGTCAGTCTGGAATCCAATTATGCAAAAACCCTATTTTTTCATGATAGAACCAAAAACATAGACGTTAGGTTTCATTTTATATGCGACATAGTTGTAAAAGGGTTAGTTAAACTTGAAAAGATACCTTCTCAATTTAACCATGCTGATATGGGAACTAAATGCTTGTCTATTTCTAAGTTTCAGTCATGTTTAAATGTGTTAAATTTTGATACATTTGATTAGAACCATGTTTGTTCTTCATTGATTGCATGTATTATTTCTCTATGATTAATATATGCTCTGCTGGATTGACTTCGTGTTGAGATTGCAGAAATAATGACGATGATGATAGTATGTTCCCACTCCCAATTGCCCTCCAATGTAAACACGAGGGTCGACCAGAAACAAGGTGGAGATTGTTGATGTGCTTCAACCTCGACCCAAATCCGATCCGACCCGACCCGAGTCAACCATGTCCGACCCGAACCCACACTGACTAGGTTTGTCTAATTTTTTATTTCTCTTCTTAAATCAGAACCGATCCACTCTATCCCTCATTCTATTCGAAATTTGAATCACTCCTAAATTTGCTCGTCACTCTCGGTGCTTGTCCCTATTTTTTTCTAAATCGATCGAGTCCGTCTGGCCGTTGATAATGTAAGGTTGTTTCCTTCTCTTTTGGGATCTATCCGTTCAACTCTCATATATATATATATGGGTTTGGGGTTCGGGAGAAAACATAAAACCAGTTCGATATTCTCTTCTTTGAGCGACGAACTTACTGCATATGCCTACCGACTTCTCTCATTATTTTTATGTCCTGATACACTGCGTGTGCGAGGATCACTTTAGGGTTCTTGGGTCACTTCGTGTTAGGAACCACCACAATCGACACTTTCGTGGGTTACCTTGTAGGACGACTTGAAGTTGGCGAAAGAGAGACTACGATCTAAGCCTACTTCATCGCTTGAGCAATTTTCTTTTAATTTTTTATATATATTTCTGTTATATATTCTTAATCTTTGATTTTTATCCGCATTAATTGTTTGGTTGAGAATTTGTACAAATTACTCTTACGGTTTAGGAAGATCGAGAATCACAATATATACATATAATGAATAGTTTTGGAATTCATGAAATACAAACAAGTTTCAAATGCTGGCTTGGGTTGGGTTGGCTGGCAATTGCCATGACTATGAGTCGTCATCATCCATCCATCATAAATAATCCTCAAGGAAAATTAAGCAGCTCACGTGGACCAACACCAACACCCAAATCCATCCATCACAGAGGAACGTATGTATATATTGACATGAAAATAATTAAGGCAATGAAGGAAGGCGACAACATGGTAGGGACAGACGTAATAATAACCAAGTGGGAAGGAAGATTAGAAGAAGAAGATACATAACATAACATATGATATGAATGTGCTGACCGAAGAAGAAGAAGAGTCAAGTGAAACACACATACTATACTTAGTATATTTATTTATTTTAGTGTGTGCAATACACGTACACATACATACATACATACATGTGGCTGGCTAGCTTTTTCTTACCTTTTTCTGGAAAAAGCCTTTTCTTTCTTGCACCTAGGTCCATGTGCTTCTCTCTCACCTTTTAGAACATCAACATAACTAATTAATTAATTAATTGCATACACATCCAATGTACTACTAATACTAATACTAATACTAATATAAGAACAGAAGAGTGACTACCATCCATGACCTCGCAACCTCGCTTTGTGTTTGTGTTTGTTGTGTGGTCCCACAGTGAAGGCAAGGCAGGTCCATTCCCACACATGGTTTGCTTTGGTTAATTAATTAATTTGCAATTAGGAAGGAATCCAGCCCACCCAGGGGCCCTGCCATCATTGCTCTGCTTGATTATCATCCACCATCATTAAAGGAGACTGACTACAGCTCAAAAATGTGAGTACTACTATTATTCAGCACAGCACCCATTTGGTTCATGATTGAAAGATTGGACTGGACTGGACTAGACTGGATTGGATTGGATGTTGCTTAATTATAATCCCTCAATTTGTTAACTGAATTGAAGGATTTGGAGCTATTCAATTCAATGGTGGAGGAGACAACCATCTATCTATGTAAGTTTGTTTTGAGGAGGAGCATAGATAGTTAGTGACAAACCATGTATGGTATTGGGTATGGAAGGGAAAGCAAACAGCTTGCAAAATAAACTACCCCCCCTAGTAAGAAACTAATAACAGGCAAGGCACTGAGATTGAAGAAATACAACTATCTCCCAGGACTAGATTAACAAAAAACACGACCACGATATATAATTAAGGAGGAAAGCCTGTGCCCAATTTTTGAACTAAAAATCTTTGATCGATCAAACTGATTTCATTCATGAAATTGATTTTACACATCATCACTCCACAGCATCAAACTTGAAGAAGATACATGGTCCATGATACATGCTTCATGATTCCCTCCCTCCCTATATGTGATTGAGTGATTCATCACCCTATCCCTATCCCTATCCCTATCCCTATCTATCTGTGCCAAGGACAGACAGAGAGACATGCAGGTAACATTACAGACATGTAAAATGGTTGACATACCTTTTTTTGGCAAGGAAAAGTAGAATCAGCATTTCGCTTGCCAAAATAAAATGGTTCCCTTTCCTTCCCTGCCTGCAGAGGAAATCTAGAATGCAATTTCTTCAAGTATTTGGAGTGTGTTGTGATGAACCTGTGATAAGACCAAGAATTAAATGGTTCAGCGCTGATCTTTTTTTACAGGGAAAAATCATCTGATATCAACTAGTAGGGACAAAACTATACTCAAGTAACAATCTTCAACATCACATGACAAACAAAATGGACTGGACTGGACTGGACTACAGCAGATTCTCAAAATGACTACCTGAACGCAACAATTAAAGCTAGTACAACAAGTTTCTAAGAGATGTTTCAGGGGTACGTACGGAATCCAAAGTGTAAGAAATTACAAGCATTTTTTAAAATACAAACGTAACAGCCATCTATGACAACCATACACTCACTTCACTCTCATCTAATTCATTTCTTACACACAACTAACTTGTGATTTCTTTATTGTGTTGTTTTGAGCTGAGAGATGGTAGTAAGTAGTAAGAAAGGGAGAGAGAGGCTCACCCATTCTAGATGCTGTGCCGTAATTCCAGGTACATTTCCTGCATATATGCCACCTAATACCTGATTTCCAAGCAATATAAGCAAAATATTCATGTCTCTTATAGAGAATCCAATAATTATGATATTCATCCATATAAGGACTTGGCGGGTCATACATAAGTTTATTCTTTTTTTCCTTTTACTAGGTGGATGCATTTTTATAAGAAACAAAGATATCAACATCTAAAGAATACCGTTTGTTACCTTAGAAACAGTTTCAAGAAACATTCCAGGACGCACAGGCAATGCCTTGCGGCCGCTAACGCTACCCTGGATATATCAAAACCTGAAGTCAAACTCATGCATCACATGGACCATGAAAATCCCATAAACTAAGAAGTAAATATCATAGCTCACCCTTCCCGCTATTCCCTCAGGAATATTTTCTGCTCTTACATCGTCTTTGCTCTCGGAACTTTCTGCACCTTCATCTTTTCCTTGCATGACAGTTTTTATCATGTCGCGCACTGTTTGCCCTGGTCTTAAGGCAACAAGTTTGGTCAAAAAGTTCACCTGTGAAATCAAAATAGATTTTAAAGTGAATGGGATTTGGAAACAGCTTCACAACAGATCGATAATGATGAACAGAAAACAGTGAACCTCCGATTCAGGAAGAGTGTTGAGACCACGATCATTTCTTTCATCCAGTATTCCACCTCCCATCATGTTCCTGGCCTCTTCTCTGATTAAAACAAGCCTCGCAAGTAGCTTCCGATCAGGAATGACGGGACGGGATTCCATTGTCTGCAGACAAGTTATTCAGGAAAGGCCCAGAGAGGAAGGAGCATGAAAATATTATGAATTGTATTTGTAGCTACTATCAACATTGTAATTTGTAACATGATTTTACAACTGAATCAATCCCTAGTCTTAAAACTTTGTCTTATTATCTAGAATCTAACTATGAATATCAAAGGACCAACTCTGTTTATCCAAACAATTTACAACACCATACAAGCTCAATCACAAAAATCATAAAATGTGTTTTTTCTATTTGTTCATAGTGAAATACAGGGTCCCACATCTCCTGTCCATGTTGCCACTTGCCAATTCAGTCTGTCGAAAGATTATACACTTTTATCACATTTTAAATTTCTTAATTTTAATTAAACTAATTAGTTATCTTAATCTATAATTATTTGTATTGTATTGTAATTAACTAATACATTTTTAAATTATTTACTTATTACTTCTAAAATTTCCCATATGCAGTGTACAAGACATGATACGTGGGACGGAAAAAATAGTTGATAAGGAAACAACCTGCTTAGGCACAATAATAAACCATGCATGAGAAAACAATGAAGCAAATTGACTAACTTCAAAGAGGCAACCTCAAGAAGATCATCAGCCTGGTTAGCTATTTGATTCAAATTTGCTCCTGGAAGATGAACTTTTGTGCCATTCCCCCCCTCAAAGACACCACCACCGGCAGCCACTCGCCTCAGCAATTCATGCCTGCTCTCTTTCTTCGGAGTTCTGCAAAGTAGGCCAATAACTTGAACCTGAGAACATGTCGAACAAAAGTTCCTTTCCATTAGCAAGAACTTTAGGAAAGGGATCTCATAGTGATTTGTCTTCTTCTTCTTTTAGGAAAAAAAAAAAGGTTGCTGAGTTTCTTACATGAGGGGGGCATTTTTTCGTGAGATGAGATAACACAGTCTCTTTAATCACCTCCAAGAGAGACTTCCTCTGAGAAGGAAATGATGAACATGTGAAGATAACCATGCTTGTGCAATTGACAGAGTGATCAATGGATGGAACAAAAAGAATGTTATTTACATGGACAAATGAAGCCCAACCAATGTTTCATGTCATAACACATAGCCCACTGCATAGTATCAGCAACAACAAGAGTCACAGAAACTACAGCCGAACTGCCAAAGCGAGCAAGAGTCCAATACTTCACATGTTATTTCTGTACATGCTAAAGCCCTAAAGCTCCATCCGTGCAATAAAATAGGTTTGGATTGACTAACGAAGTTCAGCCAAGAGTCAAAAGAACAATAGTTCCAAAGAATATCACACAATATTACCATTAAATGATCACTTTACCTAAAAACTTAAGCTGATACGGAGATGATATTCCAACACGCGCTCTCACTCTATGTGGCTATGTTTCCAATTGGGCGATCCCAATATGTGATGACATATTACATGGCTGCCTCGACTAAAACCTTAAGCTGATAAGGAGGGGCAACATTTTTATTTACTCATAATTTCAACAAAAACCGAATCTTGTGCTGAACCACAAAATTCAACATTGTCAAATATTGTGGTATTTACATGTGGATTTTTGTTGTTCAGGATATAATCACTCAACATATCAGCTCGCAAATATACACCGTAGTTCAACATGATTTTACAGTTCAGTATAAAACATTCAACAAATTAACACAACATTAGTCAATGCGTTTACATTGTTGGTGGATTTCTTATCTAGTTAACCAAAATAATATCGTTCACAATTTTGAAATGAATTAAGAGCACGATCCAAACACAATCCACTCACCTTATCATCCTGGTCCTTTTCAGCGAGATTTATCATGTAATCAAGAGCCATCATAAACCCTCCTTCCATTTCATCCACTCTTTTGCCAATCACTCCCTGTGCAGCCAATTGCACTGCTACCTCCTCAGATGCTTCATCCATATTCATGTCCGCTAACTGCACATATCAGCATCAGCCATCAGGGCATATCCACCTTAATAATCTAATAACAAAATACCGTGAAAGTAGGGATAATTTAACAAAACTTACAAGCGTGATCATTTCTTCGAAAACAGAGGTCACCTGCTCACCGCCTTTGAGCAGAGCTTCGTATTGAGCAGCATCCAAATTTTTATCTCCATTTCCCTTATCGTTCGAATCGTCGTTTGCGAAGAATCCCTCCATCGGGGAAACGGAAGCGTGAGTTGCGCAAAGGGGCAAACACCTATCCTTCGCGGAACTGGGTTTGAGGTTGAAAAGGTAGTGGCGCCTGGGAGAAACCGAATGATTTGTTGTTGAAATAGATGCTGACTGAAAGGTTAACGCAGGAATGGCGGCAGCTGCCATGGACATTGAAGGAGGACTGGAGGAGTGTCGTCTGCTGAAGGATGAAAGAAGAAAGGTGGAGATTACAATGTAGGACACAAATCGATGGCAAAATCATCCACTCTTTTTAAAAAACGTTACGTCTAATAATCGTTTGGAATTAACAAAACCTAAAAGCGTGTTCTGTGTCTGCGCTTTTTCGAGAAAACGTATAAGACGATGATTGGAATTGAATTACCAGGAGAAGAGAAAAATCAAAAACGGAAACGCCGTCTGTGGGAATCGAACCCACGACCACATGGTTAAAAGCCATGCGCTCTACCGGCTGAGCTAAGACGGCATTACATAAAACCGTTGCTAATTTTAATATTACTAATTTATTAATTTTAAATTTTAAATTATATTTTTTCTTCTTCATAATATTTTTGTATAATAATGATTTGATAATTATAACAATTATTGTTTAATAAAATATATATAATATATATGCCATTTGTTTATAAAATAAAAATTTTTATTATACAAATAAATAAAATTTTAAAAATATATATGTATATATAATATAAATTCATAATTTACATTTATGTTATTTTATTTATTACCTATCAAATCAATACATATCAAAATTCCTCAAATCCAAACCAAATCTACATACAAAAGAAACACAAAAATTCAAACCTATTTTAAAATTCAGATAAAAATCAAATCTAAGTTACTAGTAACTTAAACTTTTAAATTTACTAGTAAATCATGTTCTAGTTCAACTTGTTCGGATAGTTTCTATAAGTTACTACCTCCGTTCCATATCTATATATTCATTTGTTTTTTACATGGAGTTTTAGAAATATTAGTATTATATTGGGATAAAGTATAAATAAAAGTAAAAAGACTAAATTAACTCTATTAGTATTATATGATATAAATGTAATGACATTTGTGTAATATATTATAACTTGGAAGGGTATTTATAATATTAAGTAGATGGTAAAATTACTAAAAAAAATAAAAATGAAATGGATACTTTGTTATGGGATGGAACAAAATGGAAAAATGAACCCTTTGTTAAGGGATAGATGAAGTATTTTTTATTACATTCAATGAGAAATATTTTTATCATATTTTTTACTCTATGTTTGGTTATTGAGGAGGGATTTATTAATTCTTGAGTATGATAGGTATCGTGGTGTTGACATTTATCAGTTATTAATGTTGTGTTCTTGGATTTTACTACAAATTTTTACTACTCGTATTACTTATATATATATATTATACTACAAATTTTACATTCAAAACATCGCATTAACCTCTATTTATATTAAATCAAACAAACTATTCAAATTCAAATATTTACTATTCAAAAATCAAAATCCAAAACTTCAGCCATCCATGAACCTTTTGTGTGGTGTTGGATAACCCACTTGTTATAATCAATTATATGGTTGAAATTCTGGCCAAAACTTGTGCAATATCCATTCACTTGATGATGTTCTCATGTAGCATTAGATTATTTTTTACCAATGATGATCGTCTATTTCGTAACACCACTCATTCAATTAGCAAGAGAGAAGGCGATGATTAATGTGAACTTTCGTAAAAGCCATTGTCAGTGCAGACGAAGCATTTCTACTTGAACCTCTTGGCCACGAGGTTCGGCCGTATGCTGATCAGCTGAGGCGACAATTATTGCATAATAGCCACTCTACAGACAGTGCAGGCTGTTCCAAATCCTCAGCGGCTTTGAGGAAGACCTCCCTTTCGAATTCTAGGTTTTGGAGATTCTTGTCATTTTAAAATAAAATGTCAATATATACTTATAATTGATTTTCTACATGTTTCCAAGCATAACTTTCTAATGTAATTACGAATCATGATATGAGATAATACTTCATTTGTGCTTGTTAATATGTGTGGTTGAGTTTATTTATAAATACTAGGCCATTATCACTTAAAAAAAAAAAAAAAAAGAAAAAGAACTTACCTTTTGTAGCGACTTTACTGTAACAATAAATTTATAAAAAAAATAATTTTAGTTACGAAATTTGTCGTGATAATTTTTTTTTATTTGGTCAAATTTACATTTTTATTTGTTTTAATAATTTATTAATAACAATTATAATTATTACGAAATATCGTCCTAAATATATTTGTTAAGCATGTTACTCGGTAACCAAAAAAAATAATTAATTGTAACAACCGTAACAAATTATCTGTGACAAATAATGTTATTAGTTACCAAATTTATAGTAACAAAAAATTTTATGATTACAAAAAGGGGTGGGATTACACGCTGAAAATTAAGCATCAACATTGTGCTGATTGCATATTAGCCATTGGATTAACTTTAATCCAATGGTAATTAATGGTGTAATTGTAATTTTAATAACCCTAATTTATATAATTACATCAAACCTCACCCTCATTTGCTCTTTCACGCAGCAATCGTGGGGAGAAACGCCATCCTACATTCTTCACTCTTCTTCATTCTTCAATGGCTGATATCGACGAAGGTGAGCAGAATCAATTTTCCATTATTCCAACCACATTCAATCGCTTAGCAAGCAATTGAGACATCGAAGAGTTTGCAATTTCAGATGACCCAGCGCCTTCGCCAATACCAAACGCGCCATAACGAGAAATCGCTCAATCGCGTAAGTTACCCATCGAAAATTGACTTGAAATCGTGAATATTGTAACTTTTTGTGATCGATTTCATTGAAATTACGCGATTTTGTTTAGCGGTTTGGAATTTTGTAAATAACCTTTAGCATTCGCAATTCAATCAGAGCCTTCAAACTACTACTAAAAATAAAATGTAGCATCAGTATTGATATGTGATTGTATTTCCATATGAAGAGAACAATATCTCATTTTAATTACCAGCATGATATGTGATTGTATTTGATACAGATATCAACATCTTGCCATTTATCGTAAAGCATATTGAAATATGGTGGTCAACATTTTGATTAACATAATCTAGCATTATATATGTGCAGAATTTATAGATTGGCATGCTATGGAGTTTACAAAACCGGATGATGCATACAATTTCTATTGTGAGTATGCACACAATATGGGCTTTTCAGTGAGGATAAAAATGCAGAAAAAGTTCAAAAAGGACCCGCAACAGATACAATGCATGGAGTATTGTTGTAATAAAGCAGGATTCAAAGAGGGTAGCAATGTGAAACCAAATCAGATTCATCCAAACAAAAGCAGCGAGTCAGAAAGGATAAAGATCATGCATCGTAGTCATGAAACGAGAACAGACTGTAATTCAAAGATACGGCTTCAGTTTGACAAGGAGAATGCAAAGTACAAAGTGACATACTTTGAAGACAACCACAATCATGATCTACATCCTCCAAAACACAAGCACATGCTTGTATCCAATCGTAGGATTGATTAATCACATTTAATCATTGCGAATATAAATCAGGAAGCTGGACTACCAATCAGATCATCGTACGATTTGATGAAAATAGCCGCTGGAGGAAAGGAAAATGTGGGGTTTTTTAAGTTGGACCTGAAGAATCACATGAAGAAAAGAAGGAAAGAAATTTTCAAGGAGGACGAAGCAAATGCATTACTGCAGTATTTTGGCCAAAGATCGGTGGATAATCCCTTATTCTTTTATGAAATTGAAGTCGATTATGAAGATAAGATTGCTAATATATTATGATCAGATGCAAAAATGAGGGAAGACTACGCATTGTTTAGGGATTCTATTACGTTTGATACCACATACCAAACAAATAAGAACCACATACCACTAGGTAAACATAGTCAGCATTTCATTTCATTTCAATTAACCAGCATTTCATCGTCAATTAGTCAGCATTGTGAATACTGTCTGTCAGCATCTTTATACATCTCACACAATGTCTTATGTATATATATGATCCTAACAATATTTTATATTCAGGTGTTTTCGTGGGATTTAATAACCACCGCCAAACATCTATATTTGGGGCAGCATTGTTGTACGAGGAAACACAAGATTCATTCAAGTGGGTTTTCAATACCTTCCTAAAGTGTATGGGTGGACAAGCACCGAAAACCATTTTTTCGGATCAAGATTTGGCTATGGCTCCAGCACTAAGAGAGACAATGCCAACGACATACCATGCTCTGTGCACATGGCATATTGTACAAAATGCCAAAAAAAATCTCAGTGCTCTTTACACTACAAGGTATGTTGGAATTCTTACAGCTAAATGATGAATTTGAGGGTCGAAGACACCAATTACAACTACTCTACTTGCATTGTACACACAGGTTTGCTGAGATGTTTCAACATATTCTCTACGGGGTACAAGATGAAAATCAATTCAGCCTCAAGTGGGAGTATATGTTGCAGGCATGCTTTCCCAAAGGGCCTCATAAGTGGCTATTGAATATTTATTCATTGAGACAACAATGGTCTTCGGCTTGGACAAGACAACACTTTACTGCAAGGATGAGAACAACACAACTGAGCGAATCACTTAACTTCTCACTGAAAATGTTAGAAAAGGCAACCTACAAGCCCTTAAGCTTTAGCAACTGAACATTATTCTTTACTTGCATCGTCTGCTGAAATCAATGGATTAGAATGCTGAGTTTGTTCTTTGTATATTATGTTTATTGAACATGAGTATGCTGAACAGGTTTTTACAACCGGACAATAATATTGTTCAATTTCTTCATCAATTTCAACGAGTGGTGGAGAATCATAGGGAAAAAGAGGAACAACAAGATTTCTTCGCACGGGACAGACGGTTGGCTACAAGTCAAATGTTCAACCCATTGATAAAATCTGCAGCTATGTTCTACACACCGAATGTCTTTCAATGGTTTCTAGAGCAACACCAAAGATCCTTTGGATTCATAATAAAATGCTTAGATGAAAAGACAACATATCTTGTATATAATATGGAGAAGACAAGCGATCAATATCTTGTGCGTGCCAATATTCAAGAGTCTTTAATTGAGTGCACGTGCAATATGTGGAAAAATACTGGAATGTTGTGTTGTCATTCAATAAGCACGATGGATTTATTAGTCGAAACAGGGTGTGCACAGTTCAAAAACATCCTAGACAAATACATATTGAATCGATGGAGAAAAGATGCTAGGAGGATGTTACAGCATCACCTCGCAAGCTTAACATCTAATCGGGAGGAAATGGATTTTTCAGAAAGATACAAATCATTGTGCCACTTGTTCATGAATTCTGCAAAGTTAATAGCATCTGAGGCGAAGAATTACAGTTCATTCTTACATAAATCCAATGAATTGCTTCGCAATACAGTTGCATGCCCAAATCTGTATGGAGGAAACTGACGGATGAAAAAAACAGTTACGTTTTGTATATATTTTATATTCATTGAAATATATATGATATTAAACTAATCAATTCTTCATGCTACAGGAGAAGTGCGTAATACAACCACTGCAGGCCATTTAATATTGAAGCCAAGAGACAACCCAAAAGGAAGAATTAAAATAAAGGTGTCAATCAGCAACTATGAGAGACAAAAGAAGCATCGAAGGATAAATAAAAGAGATAACCACCGGGATAAATGTAAGGAAATTGATTTTTTGCCAGTTCATACATGATTTATTACGAAAGTATTGTGAATAATTGACGCTAAGTACTTACATATACAAGACCATGGATTTTGTCAAATAACAATAAGCATCATCCTGAGTACCAATAAGCATTTTCTACAAATCTATCAGCATATATATACACGAAGCCAATCATTTTACTATGTACCGGTCAACATCTTCTGATTTAACATCGAGCAGCCTGAGTATTAAGCATGAATTTATGCAAAAAATACAATTTTTGCCAGCATATATATATACACTCAATTTTTGCCAACATATATATACACTCAATTTTTGCCTTGCCCACGACCTTGTCCTCGACCACGCCCTCGCCCTCGCCCTCGACCTTGCCCTTGCACACTAACACATTTTCGTGCAGCCATCTTAATACGACCCTTCAACGGTTGCGCATCAGCTTTTTCATCTTCAGCGCATGCAATCTCAGCACCAGAAGCAAGCAATGACCTCTCTTTTACATCCCTAATATTACGATTCTCCTCCTGCAATAAGATTTGTACATAATACCTTTTTCGCAATCTATCCAAAAATTCACGTCTGGCAATTTGCTCACAAACCTGCCCAGTCAAGTCAATGGGCCAGTTTTCCATGTAGAACATAGTGAAAACACCACAACTGTGGATATCCGGCTGCATAACATGGGGTGGCAACTCAACTGTATAATGGGCATCCCACCGTGGGTCGGGAAATAATATCCTTGCAACCCGTCGGAAATACCCAAAAAGTCGATCAAAAACCACTGAGTTCGAATTCCATCCATCAACAACATTTAAGCTATTGAAATACAAAAATTTTCTTATGAAGAATGGACACGGAAAACCACACCCAGTGGTTCAAACGACATAATGGGAAAAAGAACTGCAATAATATACACAAAACCAACTTAGCATATCATAAAGCATCATATCATCATCTCAGCTTGTTAAACTCAGCATTCCATATATACATAAAAAAACTCTCACATTGTCAGCCTTTAAGCATTCGATCCGATCGTTGTCAAGGTATTTTATGTCCAATTGTCGTTCCCATTCCTTCACCAGTTCATTATTCTCGATCTCAACGCGCACCATATACTAGATGCATAGAAAAATATAGCATCAGTTAAGGTTTGCCATAAGCATAAAATACTCAACGAGTTAGCATTATATATGATCAATAATTATCGTCGATACATATTTTATGCACATGTAAATATATACTCACAGCCACGTTGGATGATACAGAAAACTTGGGCATTGGAACACCGTTGTGCTTGTTTTCTCTTAAAGCTGATCTATTCAGAAAGGTACCAAATGCATCAACCACGTTGCTTGCAACGTCGGATGATGGACATAAACTCTAGATATCATGCTTGAATATCATAGTGACTCCATCCGAAAAAATAATATCTCCCAAGTCAGCCACTGATGCGCGCTGTAAATAAAATGCCCACTTGACAGTCCTCTCTTCCTCCTCACTCAACTTGAACACATCAAAAATACTGGAGGAAGTTTCATAGGGAGAACAGAAAACTTTCGATGGCAATCGATCGCGATGAACCTTAATTTCTTTTGTCTGGAGCTGGGGAAGGGAGGACATTGGAGAGTGGATGTTTTCTCGTTTAGTTGACTCATATAAAACAATTTCCTGCCAAATAAATTCATTAGTCTTAAAAAAGGTTTCATATATGCAATTATAAACAAAGCTAAAAGGCAATATATAATTAGTTATACCTTGCAAGTACTCAGCGTAATTTTGGTTGGCGAATCTTCCTTTATAGTTCTGACAGCATTCTCAAAATCCTATGTTAACCCAAGTGAAAAAAGACTCATTGGGTTAACATCAATTTTTGCATCGCATTTTTGTTTCTTTGTAGGAGGTTCACAATCCGCTCCCTCAGTTTGCATTTGCTGCTATAACAATGTTCAACAATATATTCTTAATTAATTCAAAATATAGATGATATAATGGTTATCTAGCAATGATCAATTACAAATACCTGTTCAGTAGTTTTTTCATCATGGGCAAGTTCCTCCTCCAGAGGCAAATCGCACCCAAGAAATTCCTGTGATAATAATCAGGATTAAAGTTTGTATACATTGCAATTGTACAAGAAAAGCAATTGATATTATATAACATAACAAGATGAAAACTACAATCTTATACAACTTAAATCACCTTCTCTACATTCTGTCCATGAAGACCTTCATCTTCATTGACAGCTTCCTCCGGCCGGGGCAAATCACACTAAAAAAATTCCTATACAATATTTAAGATTAAGGCTTATATACACTGCAATTGTATAAGAAAAGCAATGGATATACTACAGATCAACTCATAACATTGAAATCACTAACATTTTTTTCAGAAAATTTTCTGCCATCAGCAGTGTCATCTTCATGGCCCTCACACTTCTTCTTGTATTCTTTCTTTAAATTGCGGAGTTTTTTGGACACCCGCATAATCTCATTCTTGTACCACTGTATCAAGGAATCAAGACAGCAATCCAAAATCACTATTTTAGCACTTCAGCAAGTATTACTTAACATACCATATTGGAACAATCAACAGAAACAAACAAACAATATGTAATCATCCTACTCTGTATTAGTTAATGCATCAAATCCAGCATCTCAGAGATATTAATCCAGTATATCAACAACTGTTGATTAACATATCACAGTGGACCACTCAATATGAAAAACAAACATGTATACTATCCTGCTCTGTATCAGCTAATACATCAAAATCCAGCACTTCGGAGATATTAATCCAGCATATCAACAAAGATTGCTTAGCATATCAATAAGTATTGCTTATACCACAGTGGAGAAACCAGCGGGAAAAAACAAACAATATGTATACCATCCTCCCCTGTACTAGTTAATGCATCAAATCTAGCATTTCAGAGATGTTAACTCATTATATCAACAAGTATTGCTTTACATATCACAGTGGAACAATCAGCACGGCAAATAAACCATGAACTCGGCGTATCCAAAGTACATATTTTAAACTGGATGACAAAATCTAACCTTTGCAGATCGAACTTTTTGAGGGCCGAATAGCTTGACAACATCTTCCAATGTTATTTTTCTCTTGAGATGACATGAAAAAAAGCGCACACCGCATTTCTCGTTGTGGAACTTATCAAAAAACATATGCTGAAAATAAAAAAATAGCATATTACACAATGAGAACAATAAAACAGAAAAGAAAACAAAGTGATCACGATATTTTAATTTACCATTAAGCAATGCATGTCCCCAGATGGCCTTCCACTGACCAAAGCTTTTTTCTTGAATTTCTTAGACATTGTATCCAGACCCTCCACAATCTTATCCCGAACAAAACCAGCCCAATTAAACTCATTTGTCAATTCCTTCGACTCAAGGAACTGGAATATGCGATGATTAATCTTCGCATTTGATATGGGCATAAGCAAGACACACATGCAATACATTACATATATCCGCCAAAAATTAACATCACTTCTTAGTCTACTACTATCTAGTAACTCCTTTAACGAAGACTCAACTATATGTTTTTTATCCGTTCCTATGAGTTTCATATCTAAACTAAATCTATCAGCAAAATTGTAAAAAGAATCAGACTCGTACAGTGAAATAGGTTCCTTATTTTTGCCATATGGCAGCCCATAGACAACACCAACATCCCGATTGGTAATATACCACTTATTCCCATTAGATAAATGAAAGCACTCGCTATCAGGGTCCCAATAACTCAATAATTTCATGATAGGACCCACGGGAATAGCCATTGGCTTCACATGGAACAATCCTTTGAAAGGGCTAGTTTGAATATACCTCCGAATCGAATCTCGACAGGGTTTCTGTAAAGATTCATTGAGATGGGCGACCTTCCTCGGAACGCAAGGCAGTTGAATGATAGGATCCTTTGACATTGTTGATTTCTTTCGAAGAGTTGCGATTAATGGGACTA